ATTTACTAGTTATATTAGGAAATGTTGATACCTTAATGCCTAAGACCCACTAAATAACGTTTAACATCTTAGTGACTTGTATATGCGCATATTAAATGCAGTTCCAAGTGGAATTGATATTAGGTACTCGCTCGAGCGCATAGGCTCTTAAGACACATTCCAACTATTCCTGAAAATATGAAGGACGGAGAATGAGAGTTCTTCAACAATGACCTCGTGGCTTATATAAGATTATAAGTCGAGGCCAGTTTCTGTTTTCTTTGATTATTAGATCTTTTGTGGTCCACATCCCTTGGAAATGCGATTTCTAAATATCGGCGGGTGCGCCGCCTAGACGCGTCCACTGCAGCGCCTTTCACGCGCCCCTGACCCTGAAGCTCGTCCCAAATACCTAACCACGGGATACCCTGCAAATGCGAGTGTCTTGCATGGGAAATACAGAGATTGCGTCAAGGCTTCTAGAGTGTATCTGACTAGATCTCCTAGATCTTTTACGACCTATGAAGCTAAACTCGAGATTATATGTTCATACTATCTGGTTTCTTAGTATTTCTCCCTTCATAATACTTATTTATTTCACTTTTTTCTTTCTTTTTCTTCTCTGCCTCTCACAATTGTGCGACACTGGTTTCAAGCCTCCTCTCCGTCGTGTGCTCTATTTTCGCGCGCGTGGATTCAGCCGTCGATCTGAATCAGGGTTCCTCGGAACTATTGTACCCCTGCTGCTTCCCGCTCTTGATGATCCCTGAGGGTTCTCCCAACATCTCATCATCCTAGGAAGATTACAAGGCGACCATAAGAAATACCATGTTGCATAGACTGCTTCAGCAGTAAATATCTTTGCCTGTGCTATAAGTTTTATTACTCGTGTTGATGATTAACTCCTGTCTACGTAGGTAGGTAGTTTACTACTATCATCAAATTACAAACCACAAGTAGTACTCTCACGCAACGAGTACGTGCTTGTTTATCTGAGAAGGCCAAATCACACAACGAGCGCAGGAGCCAATCATCTCTAGAGCCTGTCCCGACATCCGTCGACGCCCGTATTTCACTGCAACCTGTTATCTTGCTGAATGACAGCAGGGCGTGACTGTTAGCTGAGTCAGAGTCCTTACCATCCGACGTTGGCGCATCCAGAGACCCGGTATTATCGGCCGTCTGTATCTGGCCGTCCGTATCTGGCCGTCCGTGTCTACATCACTTGATCCCAGATTGACAGGTATCAAAGAGGCTGAAGATTCGCCTTTTTGATGCATGTATTGATCCCTGATCCTAGCAGTTCAGTAGAGTGCTCCAGGCGACGGTCCGTTGGTTGACTACCGTTCTATTGACTTGTTATTAGTCACTGGCTTTGATACTCTACTCGAGGCGCTCTAGATCCTCTGGTAAGGACATCATGATTTCTATTTCCTTAGCATCTGGAAAAAGGCGCGCTGATTTCAGTACCTTCAAGTTTGTCAGGTTGACGTTATCAACTGCTACCTGTCGAGGTAGCATTCTATCCTAACTATGAGATACACCCTTGTATTTCTCGTTTATTAGCCGTCAATTTACCCTCAGATCGGATTTTAAAAATTGCCTTGTAACCCATGCCCAATATAATTCCATCGACCTACCTATCAAAACTTCACTGATGCGGAAGTTTTCGTATGGCTAGTCACTCGCACATTGTTATCACTTGTATAATCTCGCCTATATCCTGAATACTACGTATCGGGCTTCACTCCTGCTTTTACCCCATCATATACTCGGTGTCAGAGGCGCCGCAATACGTAGTTGGCCCCCCAATTTACTGAAATGCCATTTTGCCGAACCCCAGTCACTGCGGCCTGTCCCTACACCCCTCCAACACCCCATTCCTTGTCGTCCCCCCATTGGCCTTGGGGAACCATGCATTTGTTTCCTTCTCCTGACGGTATCTAACTAGACAAGGCTGGCATGCATGAACTAATATGGCAGCACAGATCTAATCCCGGGGCCTGACCACGACAGATAACTTGCAGAAAGTTACGTCGCTTGCGTTGTTGATGCGCGCAGCTATCTGCAAGATTTGGCAGGCATAGCTGAAGCTCATACCTAAGACACGCGATTCGACCTCACTGATACCAGCGGAAAGGTTCAACCTTGCAAAACACGAAACGCCACGAGGGAAACGCGGGATTCTGTCGAGAGCCGCGAACCGAATACCCAACGCCCTGGATTGTCCAGTATCGGCATGACACGGCTTCCACTACACTACATCGCCATTTGATAATCTGGTTATTCGGCCAAACTTTCTCGACCCTCTCTACTTACTAATTCTATCGTAGCCCGAGGTGCGTATAAGTAATTATTCTTTTTTCCGAATAAAAGTTGTTATTGTCCCCACTGCCCACTTGTCTTTACTATCATGCTTATCGTCATGAAAATTTCTTACGCACTAGCTTATTCGTCGTCTACCGCTCTCGACGATATATCTCCTTGCCACTGCACCTACGCGCATCTCAATTTCTCGGCAAGCTTCAGCTGAAGGATTTACGTGAATTTGTCATTCGCTACTCTCGTCGATAGAATATTTTCTTATCGATATCTGTTACTATTTATAATCCCGATGTTTGTTGATGGTCATCAATGTTCTGTCCACATCATTATACATCGGCCATAATATGTTACTGACCTTACGATAGAAAAGAGGTCAGCCACCCGTCCTTCAGCAAAATACTTGGGCTACCATTGTCTCTTTCATTAATATCTATAACGGTCTTCCGCGATTGAACGGATACGATCATCTCAACATAGTGTGAGTATGTCCAATTCCATTTTCATTAAGTAGAATTGCTTTTAAAGTTGGATGTCAATGTGCGCACTGGGAAACGCGACACTCATCCCGGTTCTATAGTACGGCATGCGGGGATTTTTTCCCATGTACGGTGTGGTCTCTTTTCTGTTAATCCACCTGCTCTCCCATGTTTTCCCAACGGCTTGCACCATCTCTGGCCCATTGTTTGTTTCTTTGCTGATTTGAGATACATAGCAAAACCAACAAAGACTTACAAATCCACTTATAGTCAGACCTCATTTACTATAATGGTTATGAAGATGGGGCAACACCGACAGGCTTCTAACCCGTACCTGAAGGAGGAACAGCGTCCAGATCCGGTGAGTTTTATCTTATTTATATGTATGCTTCACCATGGTTCTACATCAACGCCCCGGAGCAAGTGCTACTTCGAGAATGTAGATCTGCCGGCTCGCAGGCTTGACCCGAGTCAGCCCAGCCGTACGACGTCCGCAGATGCTACAATGTCACAACCCAAGCCGTTCCCGTGTCAAGCATGCTGGAACAAAGCGTCGTTATTGCAACGCGTAAAGCTTAAACATGGATCATGATATCTAGTTATTGAGTTCCTGCGTTTCCAGAAGGTCGTGGGGCTTATTACAAGCCAGGCTACCTAGATCAGTCTTGAAGTCAAGGGAATTACAGGGGAGCATGCTTGTTTCACAAGCGACAAGGTTCCGTCTTCTGGAACAGGGCTTGTGCGGGTTGCCTTAGTGTCTGTTTTTCAAGGGTGATGATGCTTCTAATCCTATCAATTACCCTTCAGAACGCTGACGTGCCCGTGATGCCCCCTGCCCAAGTGGATGCGGGGAGACCCAAGGAGCTTTCTCTTAATCCACGATTCATCATTTTATTACTCCGTATGTTTTGCGCGGCAAACCACACTGTCACCATTTTGATCAAAGCTTTGGACCTTGAAATTTTTTTTTCTTCCTCTCTTTCTATGCCCCGAATGTTTGATGGCGCAAGTGCCAAACAAGACGAGAAAAAAAAAACAGATCTCTGAGGGGCTAGAGCTATTGGAGAGAATCTTTTCCGTTTTAAGCTGCGGCCTAAAAAAAGTTCAGCGGGTTCAACGGGTTCAACGGGTTGAACGGAGTCGAGTCTCTTCAAGATATCTTTTTTTTCGACGCTATATCCTAGCGCTGTAGAGTCGATTTCCTCCGGCTTAATTCCCACGTATGCACTTCCAACGTACAACAAGTTGGGTTAGTGTGGTGGGCATTATCATACCTTCGGGGCAGAAACAGGAAAAGGGAAAACAATATTCGACCGAAGTCGTACACGGTACTTCTTCGCAGTCATGGAGGGTTCAAGCCTAGCAGAGAATGGGTGTTGGCCATCAAGTGGATCCGGTACAATTCTCCAATAGGTAGTACGGATGTCCCTCCAGGACTTGCTGTTGTTACCACACCACCATGGCTTTGGTTCAGAATTTAGCAGAGGAGCGAGAAAAAAAAAATGGCCACCGAGTTACGTTTCGTAGTCAAGTGACTGGAGACTCTACCGGCTGGGAGAGTTTCGACGCGAGGATCGTCCAGTACGTCGTTATGCTGCTAGTCCGAACATGTCTGCGAGCAAGGGACCATCTCAATGCCTGGACGAGTTTCGTCGTGGGCGGTACTCTGGTCCGCCAGTTCAATTACACGCAATTCTCGAGTACCTCGATCGTGCCCCGTACACACCGCCTTACTCCCTGAAAGCTCGCGAAGGACCTCCCCCCTGTACTGTTGGTTAGCCCCGGACATAGAATACCTCATTGGGTAGGCTAGCCCTGCTTGGCCGTGCCGCCATTGGCCACTTCATCTAAAAATGCAGCTGTCCCCCCTGCCCCCTGTCACGTTTCTTCCATGCGATGTCCCACATCTTGATCCGCCCACACCCTAACACGAAATCTCCAAGTTCCCATTTCTCATCGTTCACATTTCATGCTTTGCGGCAGGCATCGCACGTCCTTCCTCTACCAAACTAAGCAGTCATATCGTTCCTGTTAATTATCCCGGAATGAGAGGCTTCTAAGGACGTACATATTGATACATAATAAGTCCCATCCATACATTAGGTCCCAATTTTACACCTAGAGGGTACGCCAAAGGTATCCTTACCTCGATATTTTCATACCTTGCGATCTCACCTTACAAAGCTCAAATATCGTTGACCCTGCCTCTACATCGTCGCATTTGGCATCCTCGCTCCGATCTCAAATCTGCTGTTGCCCTCTATTCTCTAGCTGTCCCCTGCCAAGCGTATACATCTCTCATAACTAATACCCGACGTGTTCGAGGCATTGTTATTTCTTGTCGCGTCCCAAATAGGCTTGAAGGAGAACCTAGTTGGTGAACTTTGAGACTTTCGGGTTCCGCTTCCGATTCCTATCCACTCCTCCCTTTTAGGAGCAAGCACCTGGTGGTGTCATTTCCTGGTACTGCAATTCTTTATCTCTTACGGTAGTATGCTTAGGCCCCTGGTCTTATAACCTATACCTCCCCCCGTCGCTTAAGCAAGCCTCACCCGTTAAACCTCGTCATTAGGAGACGCTTAAGTTCCTTGGACCTTGACAGTGTCAAGAAAATAAAAATTGTCGACGCGTCCTACTTTCTTTTTCTTTTCATGGTTGTCGTTACTATTTGGCTTTGACACTCCAGAGTTCAGGACTAATGGTTGTCTCCTCTATGCAGCATCATCCCCACCACTCGCAGGGTCCGGCGCCTCCCCAGCACCTACAGCATCCTCGGCCCTCGAGTATCGTTCACCAGCAGCATCACCAGGCGCCGCAGCAGCAGCCGTCGCAACACCCTTCCGCGTACTCGTCAACACATTCGATCCAGCCAGCTTACCAGCAAACTGGACACGCACCGAGTGCTCAACACGCGCAAGATCTGCCTTACTACGCTCACCAGAGCCCTTACAGCACTCCAGGCACAACGAGCGGATATACATCCGCAGGTAAGTCTTTCATTGTCGCGCGTCGTGCGCGTTGCTTCAAGTCAATGCATAGGCTCATACATCGCCAGACACCTCCGATATGATGGCCGCAGCTCAAATGCCTAGACCATACCCTCCGATGTCTTATCATACGCCCCAATCGAATTCGCCAGCTTCTGTCGCGTCGCCGTCAGGTCACGAACAACACCGAAGTCTCTATGGTCAGCCAACATCGCAGCTCCAGCCTCAATCTATGTACTATGGCGCGCAACAACCACAATACTCGTCTCTGCCGCCGCAAGCGCCCTCTCCGTACCAACAACACGCTCAACAGCCACATCAACCCATGGCCTCACAGCCAAACATGATGATGTCTCACACGGGCCCGCAGCATCAGATGACGCAGCATGCGAGCCAACACGCGCAACCTGGGATGACGGGAAGCCCTCGGCATACTAAGATGGAGCCTCAGATGTCTTCGCAACTACAACGGCCCACGCCCGGACCATTAGGAACTTCCCAGCCAACTCAAAACGGTGGACAATTATCAACTCCTACCGGGTCATCAACACCTGGTGTTAATAATAATGCAGCACCGGGGCCGATTCCAGCGACTACTCCTCTGGTCGTGAGGCAAGATAATAACGGTGTGCAGTGGATTGCCTTCGAATATTCCCGCGACAGGGTAAAGATGGAATATACGATTCGCTGTGATGTTGAGTCTGTAAACACCGACGAACTTAGCAGCGAGTTTAAGACGGAAAACTGTGTTTATCCTAGAGCATGCTGTCCCAAAGACCAGTACAGAGGGAATCGGTTGCAGTATGAGACTGAATGCAACACGGTTGGTTGGGCATTGGCTCAGCTCAATCCGTGCCTCCGCGGGAAGAGGGGACTTATTCAGAGAGCTGTCGACAGCTGGCGGAATAGCAATCAAGACCCTCGGTTGCGAAGTCGACGCGTGCGTCGAATGGCCAAGATGAACAATCGCAAGGCGGTTCAGACTCCCCACTCCACACACATGTCCGGTCCCAGTGGTCCGGCAGGGATGTCAACCCCTGGGGCCATTGGCCCTGGTGGCGGTACGCCCATGGGGAAACCTGGGATGAGTAACATGGGTCCGCAGATGCACCATCACCACGCCCACGAAGGAGGTGCTCAGGGTGGAGGAGATGAAGTCGGTATGTTTCACCAGATGTGATTCATGCGTTGCTATTGTTATTGTTGTCGTTGCTGTTGTCATTGTGCAATTACGTGATACCTCTTATCATTATACCTCGTGCCTGTTCGGTTATTTTTGGATTGGATGCCGTTTCATGTTTATATAACGGCGCAAAGCCGCGGGCGCTTTTGGAGCACTGGGGGACTGGCACTATTCTGTACATTATCTAGCTGCCATGCACTTGGTAGTCCTTGCTGCTTCGGGACGGTCTAGTCGTCTGTCTGATAGCAAAAGTTGCATGGCATTGCTTTGCATCTCGCTGCACAAACACACCAAGCGCACATATCACTACCTCACGCCGCTGTCTTTGTATTGGAACCCTTTCTGCCACAAAATTGCAAATATCACATCGATTCAGTTTTTTTGCTGCCTTAATTTGCGCAATAGCGTCTCGACCCTAGTGCAATCCGCTAATTTGAATCTCTGTACAGGGGATGGAGAGTATGTGGATGGATCTCATCATCACCATCATCAAGCACCCACCGGGCCGGGATCTAGAAACCAAGACGACGTCCGTCCGGCTCAAGTTTTTACTGGCTATCCCCAACAGTACCCTAGCCATCCCGTCTCGGGATCGTCCATGCCGCCGATCCATGATGGACTTGGCGGTTCTCACCACAACACTATCGTAGCTCGACGCATGAGCAGAGATGATGACAAAAACCCGGAAGGCTTGTTTCCTGATATCCCCGATGCTAAGAAACGAAAGTTCATACTGGTTGAGGATAACAAACGCAACTCTCGCCTTCGTGTACGCGTCACCCTTGAAGATGTGAACCCTAAAGAGATACCCGATTCATTTCGCAAAAGTTCGGCTGTATTCCCACGCAGTTATTTCCCGCGCGAAATGCAAAGCCCGCCTCCGAGCGCCACCGGTAGTCAATTCTTCGAAGATGACCTCAGTGACGATAACGTCGAAGTTGACGGCGGGCGATCTAGACGTGCCCGTAGGGGAAATGTAAGAGAACGGGTCATGGTGAAAGCCCCAATGTCTGATGGGAACGAGGCCGAGGTTGCTATACCGAGGATCAAAAGAGGCACGCGCATAAAGGAAGTACGACTCAACGACCTGGCTTACCGCATGGCGTGGATGCATAGCCGTGTGTTTGCGGGCAGGACCGTCTTCCTACAGCGAGCACGTAAGTTTACGTCCAAATTTGTGGACTATGCTTCGAAAACACCACTGACATTTGCTAGTTGACTGTTACCGTAACAAGACTTGCACCGCAATCGAAGGCATGGCGCAAGACATGAAGACCATGGTGCCCCACTACGAAACCCGAGTTGGCAAGCGAAGATGGGGTGAGCGAATGCGTCGTGGCGAGAAGCGAGATGACGAGTCTTAGTTTGAGATATCTTGCCTTCTGTCGGCTCCGTGTAGGTGGCCATTAACGAACAAATACCCGCTGCTCGTCACCCTTTGTTTAAAGCTCCTCTTCTACGTCTACGTCTCAAACGCGTCGCATCTTGAGGGACTCTTTATTCCGTCAATCGAGCGCATAAAATAATATCTTCACACACATATTGCGTATCGCGCTTGTATTATATCTGCGCCTGATAAACTTACCAAAAGGTCAACGATGCCACACGACCAGCCTCTTATCTCACTAAAGCCTCTTTACTCTATAAAAAAAAAAGGAGGCTGTTTGCCTGTCATTTTCGACCTTGATATTTCAACCTTCTCCGATTTTCTCAGATCCATCTTAACGGCAGGAGGCTTCACGTTTCGTTACGATAATGGTCTATTTCTTAATTCCCACATAGGGCGCTTTAGTTCTACTTTGCCAGGGTCAGCTGCCCCAGGTTGGGTTGCTAGACTGCCTTGGATCTACGTACAATTTGGCATCAGTCACTTCTACGTTCGGTTTTGTCCACGGGAAGCAATCTCGGGATAGAGGAGTTTGCGTCTGTTCTGTTTTTAATTCATGTAGGCTGGGAAAATGGAAAATGGAAAACTGAAAAAAAGGAGCAAAATGAGAACACGCTATAAGTCCTTTCACGCAGGCAAAAAAAGGGGACAGCTGTAGGAGAGATACCAAGCACTGATTTATTTTTCGTTGTTGGTCAAGGATGATGAAAAGGGGTGAGGGAGCATGAGGTTCGATAGCCACATGTGATAGGCAAGAAAGGACGTCGGTGATCGGGTTCCTCTAAGCTGATCATGGCTGGTCCTATAAGCCAGTGAGACAGAAGCGTATAACTTTATATGAATATTAGTAGCGACTTTGCCTTGTCCTTATGAGTGAGTTTCTTATCTTATTTACATGTCGTCACTTGAACCATATGCAAAAGGAGTCATATTTCAGTTAGCATTAGTTTATGCATCCAGTTATGTGTGCCTAATGGATATGGTGGGCCACGACGCTCGTATATCCATACGTGCCGCGCGCGGTTGTCTTAAGGTTAATGAGACCGTTAGATGCTTAAGTTAGTTACCCGCGCCTCCCGAGACAAGAGCGCCTGGTGGCCTAGATATTAACTTTTAAAACGGCTGACGATGCATCGGACTTTGTAGACTTCGCGGCAGGTTAAGTTCCTAACCTAGTGGCTGAGTCGATTTGAATAGTAGACAGATATGAAATCTACTTCATAACCCATTCGCCCCTTAATGCGAAGACGGCAGACTCATCATAGCATGTACAAGTACTTGAGGGATAGGCTCTCGGTCTATTCTACATTGGACTCTAGACCTCTTACTGAGGAGGCATGTAAAGTAGACAAGAATGTTGGCGTCCTGTGATTTCGGGATATATCAACTAAGAAGTAGTAAGAGATCTAGGAAACTTGCAAGTTTCCAGTTATTAAATTTTATTTTCTCGTTGATATGCAGGTAACTTCGTTCACCAAGCGAGGATACTTGACTGTTTCCCCTATTTTGATCCACATCGCCTAGTTGCTTACCTACCTAGCTAGCTAACCTAGATGTACCTAAGTCATTATCGTAGGGATAAATAAAAACGTATTCGTTATTTCTGAGTTTATCTCACACCGACATGGCCATCAGGAACGGCCCGTATTTTATAAGACACTGCGGTCCGGGAGCGCCCGGCTGTGGCCACACGGCCACCCATGTCTCAAAACCGTGCCTCAGGGGGTCAGATCTCGAGCTACCAGGTGCCATATCATTTACGCATGTACCCGATGATCTTTACGACTGAGGAAATCCGAGCGCTGTAGCTAGTATTTATGTATGTATAACTAGGCCTATATCCATCCTGTCCTTTCTCCCCGCCTAATTACGGAAGAGCGGTCGTCGTAATAGCGATATCGTAGTAACTGGCCTGGCCTGACCGGCTCACATATTTAAAAGGGAAAACAAACCGTATTAGTCTTCTCTAGCATTTACCCCTAGGTAGGGTATTGTATTACATTAGGTACCTACTTGCTTATTGAAAGATGAAAAGACATGGCGCGGATACCTACCTGCGCTACCCACCCGGACGGGCCGGTGCCGCAGCGAGATGACGGCGAGAGGGCACGGATAAGTACCTTAACGTCTCGCACGTACGAGTAAACTAATAAGCTTAGTAGCAGATGTATGGTAACCTAAGGGGTGATGTGACAAACCATAAATCGAAATCTAAGACTTACAGAGAATATAACTCCTTTTTAGCTCATCAGCTAGGTACATAAGCCTCGTACCGTACATAAACTCACCTCCCGTCTCTCTACCAGTCATTAGGCTTACTCTACTTTTCGACATTGCATTCATTGTACTCAAAGAACCTGTCGAATACATAGATAGCTTCATTTACACAACTCGTATCATATAGAATTAATAAAAAAAAACATGAAAGAAATCTACGGGGTATATCTAACTAAGACCTTCCTTTCACATCCAACTCAGCTGGGGGGGGGGGGGGGGGGGGGGGGGGGGGGGGGGGGGGGGGGGGGGGGGGGGGGGGGGGGGGGGGGGGGGGGCGGGTG